ATGTTTGTCCATATTTGGTATTTTGCTTCTCATAAGTGCTTTAATCGGATTTATTCTTCCGGACACTAATCACCACAAAGTATCAAATTCTTGGCATCAAAACCATATAACTCTCGCCAATCATTCGCATTGGAAAGATGTACCCGAATATCAAACCCCAAAGTAAATACATTAATACATTATTTTGTCTATTTTTGTGCTAATAATTGATTTGAGGTTCAATCAGGAGAACAATGCATTTGAGACACTGATTGCCGCTATATATCACTGAATGTTTATTACAATTGCGGTCTTTTATTTTTTAGGCACCGTTTGCTTAATCTATTCAATCGCATGCCATTTATCTGATCATTGAATGGGAACTAAACGCTTGTTTTTAACAACAAATAATTTATTTTAATATTTTTTTCAAAAATAAATTTAACTCATTATTCGCTAATAACTCGTTTTCTATACTATTAATGGCAATCATTCTTGAATTCGTTAGTTAATTGAAATTAACGATTAAATTGTTTTAATTTGCAAAAAGCTTTGGAGATTTTAATGATAAATATTAAAAATATTATAAGTTTTAAATGTTGTACCAATTATTTGACCAATAATGATAATTTTTATAATTCATTATTTATTTTAATGATTACATAATAGAAAAATACATAAAAACGGAATCCTTAAGAATAACGGTCCACAACAACAGTCTCCCATTTTAAGGTATTATTATTAAGTCAATTGTTATACTGTTTTAAAAGAAAATCACTTTTTAATTAACTTAAAAAAAATTAATCAAAAATACTCTTATATTTAGTTTATTAAGAAAACAAGAACTGATGCGACAAAAGGATTATGAATCCAATGATAGGATCACTGAATTGAATGACTCTCCAAACAAGATCTGCACCATTAGAGTCACTGTTCTTTGAAATTCATTTCTTAATTGTAAAGGTTTTAATTGAATCAAATTGTATTAAATAAATGTAAAACGGGTTTAAATATTGAATAAATTAATTATTTATTTATTAAATTAAGGCAATGTTTATGCATTGAAACAACAAAACAAATAAAATAACAAATTTACGCTTTAAACAGTTGTGGACTCTCAACACACAATTCTTCAGATTCTTCCGTATCTGAAGGTCTTCTAACCGTTTGATACCATCTATTGGTCAGATCAGTCATTTGGGACTTACAGTCCTTCACTTCCTATTAGACACAAATTAAATGCTTAATAAATTAATTCTTTGTTTTCATTCAATACCTGTTCTGTAAATCTTCGCGTAAAGAATGGCATTAAATATTTGACATCAAATCTAACAAAACCGGTGACATTCGACTTGTTTAAGAAATTTACTTCATATTCCTCTTCAGTTAATTCAGATAAGTGTTCGGCTTCTATGGCCTGACCCTATCATCGCATCCATTCATACAAACATTTAGAAATCATTGCAATCAATATAATTATAAAATATAATACCATTTCTTTAGTTTTACTCAAACTGAGTCCCCTTTTGGAGCCTTTCTTCGAACCCCTTCTCCTTCCTCTCACTTTTTTGTCTGCTTTCATAAACTTTATGACAACAAAAAATATTCAATCAAATGATGGCACACAAGCATTGCATTAGTTATATACCTTCATGACTGGCATAGAACTCGCGCCCATTACAATAATGGTGAACAATACGATTATAAGAGTTGTGGTGACAACGACTCGGCGTTTTTCGTCTTCAAACTCCAGATGTAGTGCCAGAGCGTAAGCAATGGCTCCCCGAAGACCACTGAACCACATGACAAACATCATCTTCTTTGAGATCTTATGCTCGCGAAAGTAATTGACGGCATATGAGAGCGGATAGATATTTAGGGCGCGTCCGACCAAACATAGTATTATACTCCAAATGATTAACTCGATCTCAATCTTCATTTTGAAACTGAATATCGCTAAACCCAGGTATGCGAACACACAGGTCTCTATATGTATACAACACATTGTGGTCAAACACTAATCATATCGGTGTTAACACTAGTAACTAACCGGCTATAAAGGCCAAAGTCCTGAGCGTCTGTTGCATTGTTATCTGAGTGACTGGTGAGAGGTTAAAGTGAGCGTAATGTGACATCACTACACCATTGAACAGAATGGCCATAATTCCCGATAAATGCAAGCCCTCGGCCAACCCGTACGGCGCGTATATAAACACTAACATCATCCCGAACTCGAGGGACGGATGCTTTCTTAAGTCTATGTATTTGAATACCTAATTGTAATCAAAATAATTATCTCTTGCGTTCGTTTCGTTAGACATTTCTATACAAACCAGAGCTGCAATCAATGCAAAGGCGGCGCCGATTCCCGCCGAACCAAAGAATACAATACCAAACCTAACAAATCCTAT